CTTCTGTAAGGAGGTGTAATTTGAGCGTATCAAAGCTCAAAAGTTGTTCTTCTACGGATGAAGCGTTAGTCACCATTGTGTGCATTACCATAGTAGGTGGCGGAGAGTAGCGTTGATTTTCCTTAACATGAGATGAAAACATGTTATGCGGGGTAGATCCCGTGCTTAAAACATCATTGTCAGCCGAAGCAAAGGACTTCTCATATGTAGATGGGCTCAATTGGGCAAGAACCCTCTCGACCATTTCGACGATGTTTTCCTTTGCAGCTTTTGTAGGAGACTTCACATGTTTTGGAGACAAACCAAAGACAGTAGCAGATTCAGACGGCACTCGTGAGGCTTGTTGTCCTAGCAATTTGGCTTGGTTCCTTGTGATAGGTCTCATGCTTCCCGCAGTAACATCGAGGATGTTTTCGACATCGATGCAGAACTTGGATCCATCAGTTTTTGCAGATGCAGATGCGAATACAGATGCAAATACGGATTTCAATGTCGATGCAGATGGAGATTTTGATCCAGATGCGGATACGAATGTAGATCCAGATTTGGATGCAGATGCAGATACAGATGTAGATCCAGATTTGGATGCAAATGCAGATACGGATGTAGATCCAGATTTGGATGCAAATGTGGATTTCGAGTTGATCTTCTTAAAAGTCATCTCGGTGTTTTTGAACTTTGGTTGTCTTGAAGAGAAGAGATGAGAGGTAAAGATTGTCCCACTGGGCGTGCCAATTTGTAAGCGTCTAAAAGTTTCAATCCTGAAATACAGTAAACAGGAAAAGAAAAATAGCAAGCAAACAATAATATTTGTATTTGAATTAATGCGAAGGTTACAATCTTTATAAAATCTCTTAAAAAGATATGTAATCCCCTGATTCTTCTCTCCACAAATGTTCTTGATTTGGCGAAATACTTGCGGCTCAATACTTGGAGCGAAGACTTCTTTGTATGCGGAAGACTTGCATATCACCAATGAAGAGCAACTATGTATTTCTGTGTGTATGTATGTGTGTATATGTCTTTTGGTCTTATGAAGACTTCTTTATATAGGCTTAAGCTAGGGCTTTAGGGGTATTTTGGTCCAAGCAATTTTGACCCCTGGGCCTGAAGAATATGAGTTGGCTCATCTTGTCAATTTAATGAACTGGCCCAAATGTTATTTGGACTTGATTTTAAGTCATATAATTCTGACATAAATATTAATCCGATTTTATTTAACCAGTAATTTGACTTGGTCAACGTATCATGCGTTTAAGATTTAATCCAAATTTAGTATGGATTTATCAATAAAACTTCACTGTCTACACTTTGGCATTTGAGGCATATCATTTCATGGTGTTGCATTGCATTGCATCTTATACAATATCCTTTATTCTTATTTGATTATGTGTTTCATTAGTATATGGACATTTTGTGACATTTGATTATTCATATTTGATGGAACTTGGCTGATAAGTGTAAAGTAAACTTGTAAAATTAAAGGATGATTTTTTTATATACTCCTGTCACTACTTCTTCGTTGTCGGTCTATGAGATATACTGAGTACATGTGGTTTCATACTTATACTACACCTGCTGCACTCTTTTATGGTGCAGATTGGATTTCAAATTCGAGTGCATTTCTTGGAGCTTTGAGTCTGAGTTTGGATAATCTTGGAGTTGTGGTGAGCTACTTGGATATTCTGCTACCGACACCTTCATCTATCTCTATTTATTAGGTTGTCTTGGTATTTCGATAGGATATTTTTTATGTCTAAACTTATAATATAATTTTAGACTTGTATTGCTCTTGTACTTATGACATTAATCTTGTCTTGTAGTTTAGTTTTTTGCATTTAATACTTATGAAAGACTTAGTTGTTGGGATATTCTACTTGTCGCTTATTTTTTCCATTATTAATATTGATTGAGTTGGTAACATGGGTGCCTTCACGACTTGTGATTTTGGATCATGACAGTAACTTATCGAATGTGAGGCCAACGCCCTATAACGATATCACAATTTGAGGTTTTTGGTACGATCGAATCTATTTCTCATGTCTAAGCTAGTTATTGTAACTTGAAAAATAATTTAAAATCTAATTGAATTTTATGACCAAATAAATATTTAAGAATACATTTTTATTATCTAATCTACTCCATATATATGGTCATACTTTTTTTCAAATACATGAAAACGTTAATTCCATATTTATTTATTTTTAAAAAAAAATAATGGCAATTCAAGAAATAGAGAAGGTGGTTTACAAAGAAGAAAGAAAGTGGAGCGGAGCCTAATGTAACAAATTCTGTAACCACCTCTTATATATATATATATATATATACTACAAATTACAGTTGCTTTCTGTTAAAATTCACATTACTGAATTCGAGAATGGCGGAATCGAGCGAAGAGTGCAGACGATTGCCGGCGTCGGCATCGGCGGATGAACTGAAAAGAGAGTTGCAGAGAAGGGTGAATTCTATAATTGAAGACGCTGATTACAGTATAGAAGACACTGATGAAGCCATGCATTGTTTGAGTGCTCTAAAAGAGTTGAAAGTGAGACCTACTCCACCCCTTGAATATCTTTGCCCACTCTCTCATCAGCTTATGAAAGACCCTGTTGTTCTTGCTTCTGGACAGGTAATCTGTTCATTTATCTGTTTTTCTGTGTTCAAATGTCTAATTTTATTGCTCTTCAACTCTGATTTGAAATTATTTATTCTGTATATAGTTAGGGATTTTTGTCCCCTATGAAAATATGACCAAGAATGCTGCATATTTGAAGCATATTGTGAAATTATGAAATTGTTATTGTAGTTTAAGCCAAAAGAAATGCTACACCTGTTGCCAATGACATGGTGTTCATCTAGCCATTTAGAAAAAAGAATAGGAAGAGGGGGCTCAGAAGGTTTTATTTGGTTAAACTTGGCTTTCATAATGTTGTTTTGCAGTGGTGATTGTTTGTCATGAGGCGGATTCGGAATTATAAAATTGCATTTCCAAAGTCTAGGATGCCAAATTTCATTCATCTTTCTACTTAGGATGGTTGTTTTCGTTAAAATTTTGCAGACATATGACAGACTATTCATTGAAAAGTGGCTCAACAAAGGTAGTCGAACCTGCCCTGAAACAAAGGAGGTTCTCCCCCATTCAGATCTCATCCCAAATCTTCTAATGAGAAAACTTATTTCACTCTGGTGCAACGACCATGGAATCGAGCTGCCTGATAAGGAGGAGCAGGGTATAATCCCAGAATCAGACCGATATCATTTCAATTCACTGCTTGACACATTGTCATCTAATGATGATGTTCTGGAGAAGATGAAGGCTGCAAAACTAGTTTGTATTCTAACTAAACGCTTTCCACCTCTACGGGCTTTTTTTGAAGAGGACAGTGTTGCTGTTACCAAATTGCTAGAACCTCTAATGTCTGGAAATGTGAATGATCATCCTAAACTACAAGAAGATTTGATCACAACAGTTATGAACATCTCATTACATGACCCCAATAAAAAGCTTATAGCAACAAATCCTATTGTCATTCCTTTACTTGTTGAGTCTTTGAAATTCGGAACACTTGAAACAAGAAGCAACTCTACTGCTGCTCTCTGCACACTATCATCACTTGAGTCAAACAAGTGTATTATAATGAAGGCAGGTGCTCTCGAGCCTTTAGTCAAACTCCTGGATGAAGGACCACTGTTGGCCATGAAAGATGCTGCTGCAGCAATTGTTAGTCTCGGTGTTGTCAAAGAAAATAGGTCTATAGCTGTTTTTGAAGGAGCAGTAAAGGTGATCATGAAGAAGATCACCGATCGCATACCCGTTGATGAATTGTTAGTCCTTCTTGCCATGCTGTCCAGTTATGACAAACCTATGAGCAGATGGTAAAGCTGGATGCAGTCTCTTGTCTCCTTAGTATCATTAAGGAGGACACAAGTGATAAAAGCAAGGAGCACTGCATCGCGATTCTTCACACACTGTGTTATAATGACAGAACAAGGTTGCAAGAGATGTGGAGAGATGAGAGTGTTAATGGGACTATAGCTAATCTTGCCCTAAACGGGACCACTAGAGCCAAGAGGAAGGCGAAAGAAATCGTTGAGCAGATTGACAAATATTTCTCTGGTAGTTGAAGCTGATGAATCTTTTTCTAGTAAGTGCTGTTGCTTCTCATTAGACAGAAAATCTATAGATTCGTTTGCTTACCAATGTACATTACTGTGCATTGTTAGTAGTTTGTCTTCTGTAAAGACAGACACATCCTGCTTATGGCTTCTCTTATAAAATGCATGTTCAAATTGCTTTACTATTGGTTTTGCTATATCTCCAGTGCATGTATAATACAAGATATTTTCTGATGGATTGTGGCAAATGAAGGGTGTCTGAATTTAGTCAAATTATATTCCTTACTGATGAAGGGGCTAAGAAAAAGAGTCAAGGTTTAGAGTTACATCAAACATTTAACCCATTACAAAGAAGGTGGAATTAGCTCTTACACTAAAAGAAAAATGAGCATGACTGGTGCACAAAGCATATAAAACATTCCTCCTATATTAGTTGTTGTTATTAATACGAATAAGAGAAACGCCATTTCTCAATCTCTCCTCCTTTGGCGCGCGCCTTCTAGGAGTTGAGATGTTGTTGCAAATTGTATCAAAATCTCCCATGGGGCAAATTGTGTACCTATCTATGCCTTGCAAGGGGGAGCAAGGCATCTTGAGAAGAATCCAAACATTCTCTTCTGTATCCATATCAAATAAGCAAACAAAAATAGTCACAAAATGCAAATATTAATCTTTTCTTTTTTCAAACAAGAAAGTAGAGGCTAGAGCTCATATTATTATTCCAAAAACAAGATTATCTATTTGTAAAAAATTGTGCTCAAGGAAAGTAAAATGACAAACTCAAACTAGTTAAATGTCATAACTTGGTCATCCTCAACTTATGATTTTTCAACTTATATTATAACCACTTTTACTTTAATCTAATATTTTATTATTTTACTATTTAATATATTTTCTAAGCTCAAAATATCTTTTTCAAAACAAAACTCTTATTAGCTTCCTTTTTACTCCATATTCGTTTTCCCTACTTTTTTCTATAATGACAGTTTTAAATCAACTACATATTACTACCTCCGTTCTTATTTATATGTCATCCTTACTAAAAATAAATGTACCTTCATGCTCAATCCGTCCAACAATACTTGTCTACTTTATCGTTGTTGGACAAAGGGAGTACTTATCATTTAACAAAAAAAATGCATAAATGACATTATTCTTCCTATTTTATCTTTGAGAGTTATTAACCTTGAAAATAATATATATATATTTGACCAACATAGAAAAGCTAAATAATTAATTCATGTTCATTAGTCAAATTAATTAATCAAAATAAAATAATTCATATTCATTGATTGAAAACTTGACTTTTAAGAGAACACTAAATAAGTTGCAATGGCAAAATAATTATTTTTAAAAAAAAGCATAATATAAAATAAATTTTAGGAGAAAACTTACTCTTTTATATCCAGGAAGTAGATGAGGAGGAATTTTGTAGAGATCTTCATCCACAGGTTTAGGGTTAGTGGGCCGCTGGGCTGTCTGTCTTTGAGGCCCACTTGTTTTCTCTACTTTTCCACCACACCTCTTCTTATTTATTGCTGCTCCCTTTGTCTGTATTATTTACAAATATTAATTAATTCCTATTCTTTTCCTTTCTTTCATAAATAAATATGCCTACTTTTTACGTACAATTTTGTTTTTGGAATGATTGTATAAAAGAACATCAAATATGTCATTATTATGAATAAGTACATCCTCTTTAATTTGACTGAATATAAAATTTAAATAATAAAGAGAGATTTTTAAATTTTGTAGTGTTAAATTGAAATTTATGTAATCTTTTACTCCCTTCGTTTCTTTTTATATGTCACATTTTTGTTTTGCACTTGCATCAAGAAATGATGTAATTTTAATCTTCTACCCTTATTTAATTTTTTTGGAACTCAAGTTCTCAATCAATGAATATGAATTAATTTAACCAATGAACATCAATCATTTACTTAGTTTTTCTAAGTTGGTCAAATGTATATTTTCAAGACTAATAACTCACAAGGGTAAAAATGGAACAAAATGGTAATTTATGCATTGATTTTATGAAATGACAAGTATTATGGACCAACTATTTATAGAAATAGATGACTTATAAAAAGGAATGGAGGGAGTAAATTTTATGATCTTAAACTTGTCATTTAGAATGTTTGAGTTGAAAAACTTACTAAATATAGAAAAAAAAACACTTTTTGAGATAGACAAAAGAGTAAGACACTTGAATCATACTCCCTCCGTCCCATTTTATGTGAGGTAATTTGACTCAACACGGAGTTTAAGAAAGAAAGGAAGACTTTTAAAACTTGTAATCCAAAATGAATGATAGAAATTTGTGTGACTGTAAACTTAGTTGCGCGGACTCTTCACTTTTGATGCCGCACCCGTGTCGGATTCTCCAAAAATACACTACTTTTGGCGAATCCGACACGCACCCGTTGGCACTCTTGAAGAGTCTGAGCAACATAGACTGTAAATCATTTCATTAAGGATAAAATAGACATTTTATAGTTAAATTGTTACTTAATATAGAAATGTATCATTCTTTTTAGGACTGACTAAAAAGGAAAATAAGTCACATAAATTGAGACAGAAAGAGTAATATTTATTTTATTTGAAAATTTTAAAGTTGAGGTTGGAGTTGCGTTTGATGCTATTTTTTGCAAAGAATATTTGTACCTTTCCTAAATATGTTTTTACCCCTCAATTTCTAAAAGCAAGAGAAATCACCTAATTTGACTAATTTAGCTCAAATATACATTCAACTTTGCTTTAAAAGAGTAATATATCAAAATACATAGTCACATAATGTGATCGATTATATTTAATGTACGAGCTATTACAGAGCATTCGTTCTGCAGTAATGTTATTTCAAAGATTTTGTAATCTCTTACAATTTTTGTATACCAAGTAGAAAATAGTAAATTTTAGTGCCAAAAAATTTAAATTCTTATTCAATTGAGACAAGTTTAAATGTAATGACATGAATAACAAAACTCATATAGATCTCAACTTACTTGAGATTGAGAGACAGTTTAACAAAATGACAATATGTTACTTTTCTTTTCACGAAAAAAGAAGGATATGTAAGTACTATAGCATTAATATTAGAATATCATATCACATGATAGACAGTTGGTGAAGATGTACATATATATTTGAATAATTGGCACTATGCCTAAAAACACATTTTATTCCAAGTTCGAGGCAAATAATATTTGCTAAAAGTCAAGCATCAATATTTGACTTCCAAGTCCAATGTTGAAATTGGGTTGAGTTTGTTGGAAATTTTGCTACTTCCAATGACTCTTTTTGGTTCAACATTCAAAGAAATGCCATTTTATTATTTTGACATAATAGTTGTTCTCTATGTTACTTAATTATTAGGTATACAATGTCAACATACTATCATGACTATATCCATATATTTCTTTCTGTGGTCCAAATATTAGTCACTTCTACAAACTATATTTGTTGTATTTGACTTTTAATAAGAACAAATAATTTTTTTATTCCCTTTCCCTTTTAAGTTATTTTAAAAAATCATTTCTTTTATTTTTTAGCAATTCTTTAATTTTAACTTTTTCAACTAATAATATTTTAAAAACACAAGATCAAACGATAGTTTGATACATTTTAAGTATCTTCTTGAATTCGTTTCAAATAAAAATACAAACAAATTGATACATATAGAAAATACGTTTCCCCTAATATATCCTTAATTAGTGTTCCACATAGTATGAAGCATTAATCAAGTTAAGTATTTAAGTGAGATAATGGTAAATATAGACAAATATTTTTATTTTCAAGGCTACTAAATATCTATCTTAAAAGTATGCAGAACCCCTAAAAACAAATAATGTATGAACCGAAGAAAGTATTTCAGATTTGATGTTTAAATTCTAAATAACTTTGTCAATGATACTAAAAAAAAACTTTAATAAAATTCAATTAGTGTAAAAAAAATGAAGGTTTTGTTTTCCACAAACTAAACTACCATAAAGATCATCGTACCCTATATTAGGTAACTCATTATTTATTTTAGTAAGCGTAAATATAAATACATACACTAAAAGAAATCTAAGTTATCAAGCCCTCTTTGATATCCAAGAGGTGTCAACCTTACATTTTTCTATTGAAAAAATATAGAAAGAAAGTATTGAAAACATTTGAATTTGATGCAAATTATAAGTTTATCTTCGAATTATTGATAGTCTTAAAAATACATTTTTACTTGATTAACTAAACTTAGATACACCTCCAATCTGTTACAAAACATAACAATTGTTCTCAAACTCTTATAGGAGATCGAAACTCTTAATAAAAAATCGAGAGAAATATTGAAACACCCCTAAACTTGATGAGAATATAGAGGTGTATTTCACTCATGTTACAAGATCGATGGTGTAATAGTTCGAGAATAAAACTAATGATCTCACTCGATTTCTATTTTTATCAGTAAAAACTCTGACTTTGCCATAGATGATGAAATCTCCAAAGATGCTAAAAGGTAAAAATAAAATAAAATATATATATATATATATACTAACCTTTGTGTGAGGAACATTATTAGGGATAGCATAAAATTGAGTTTTGTGGAAATAGAGTTGTTGTGAAGAAGAATGAGGAATCAAGCCAGCTTGTCTAGCAGACTCAAAATACTGGGTAATTGGCAGCTCATTTGCTTTATCCCAATCTCCAAATACTGGAATTTGAACTCCACTTGATCTTTTACATGAATCCTACAACAACATTAATTCTACATCAACAAAATCCTTTTCTAGAAATCAAATTTTTGCATATAGAGAAGATGAACTTACCATTAATTCCATCATGACCATACAATGAAATATGGGGAAATTAATTAGTAGACAAAAAAAGGAGTTGTTGAATAATTAATATATAGTGAACAAGTAGTAATTTCTTCTTCTTCAACTCTTGTCAGCTACAAGTACTCTCAGATGAAGTTTGGTTTGTTGGTTGTGTGAGTGGGACATGCCATGAGGAGATATATATAATTCCTCTATTTTAATTGACTTTGACCATTGTTACTTTACCTAGTTCCTCCATTTTATTTTATGTGTCATTATTTGATTTAACATGATATTTTAAAAAAAGACGGATTTCTTTAATTTCTGATTTAAAATATTTTTTTTAAAGATATTTGAGTAGTTGTAAATTATTTCATGAAAGGTATAAGAGGAATTTAAAGTTAAATTGTTTCTAATTACAATAAAAGTAACATTTTTTTTGGGACAGACGAAAAAGAAAGAGTGCTTGTGCCACATAAAATGAGACCGATGGAGGATCTTTTATATCTCAATTTATGTCTTGACGCAAAACAAAACTTTTAAAATTTGTTGTCTAAGACAAATCTAAAAGATTTTTTTGTGTTTGTAAATAATCTTATTAAGGTTAAAAGAGAAATTTTAAAATTAAATCATTTCTAATTACATAAATATAATATTTTTGGGGACAAATTAAAATAGAAAAAATACGTGCCACATAAATTGAGACAATGAAAGTGATACTAAGGTTAGTATGATTTTATTTTTTTAATTTGCTAAAAAAAAATGAATTATAATTTTAAGCATAATGTCAAATATAAAGAAAGAGAAGGAGTAGATTTCAAATAAGGTTGGTAGTAGCACCATCTAACATTTTAAAATATCAAGTAAAGGTTTCCACCTTTACGAGAAGTAATGAAAGCAGCCTCCACCAAACGTTCCACTTTAAATCTACGTATTTATTGAAAATAGGACTTTGGAAAATACTATGACATGGATTGTACCTTTCTTTTCACTATGAAATTATTGAACATCATTTATTTATTTTTGAAAAATATTACTCTAGTTGTTTTGAACAAAATGGTACTCATAATCTAACTTGTATTAGAATCATCTTAAATATTTTGTTTAGAGAAAAGAAGATAGTTATCCTTTAGTTCAATTTGTTTTTTCTTACTACTCTATAACACCCTTTCCTTTTTAGTTCGTTTTAAAAAGAATGTTATGTTACTGTAATTAGAAAATATTGATTCGAAAATATTTTTTTTACCCTCAATTAAATAGTTTTCAATCACATAAATATCTAAGAATTGTTTTAGACTATAAATTTTAAAAATCTCTTTTTTTCTTAAATATTATGTTAAATCAAATGATACTACATAAAATGAAATAAAAAGATCATATTTTTTACAATTCGTTAGTTATAATTAATATTAAATCAATATAAAAAAAATAAAATTAAACGGCAAAAAACAATACAATTAATTGAAAAGTGGTAACAAAAGTATGTTGGAAAAAGAGATTGATTAATAATGTAAAAAGACAAAAAAAAAAAAAAAGATTTTAAAAAAACAAACAAAAAGGTGAATAAAAAGGACAAAAAGAGTTGTCAGTGCTTAACGTGCATGTGAACAGTAATGTCAAAAGTAGTTGACAATATATATATTTTTCATCGGTGCACACCCATACCGGAGATGATCTGATCAACACTAATTTTAGGTGCACGCAAACACAAAAAGGCGCCGTACCTTGCGCCTAAAAGCTAGTAAGAAAGCCTACCTTCTTCACCAAATTAAAAACCAACATTTTGACAATATTCTGTGTTTTGGTAAGAAGAAAAATGTTTTTCACGTTTAATGATTTTCTAGTGCTTGATAAGTAAATAAGAAAATATTATTTTAAAAATATTTATATGTGAAGAATCTAATTAAATACATAGTTTGCAGGATCATTGAATATTGCTTCACTAGTCTGATAGTGCAATCACATGTAAACGAATACAAATTACACCAAAATAATGACATAGTCTAAAATCGTACATGTTACAATTGTTTGTTTCAACACTTTTAGAAAAAGAAACCCTCATAGAATCTTCACACGAACTTTACTGGAATTGAAGAAGGAAAAGGAGTAGAAGCAAAAGAAGTGTTAGTTCTTTTGAAATTGCAGAGAATGAAAAGATGTCTTGGTTTTTCCTGTAAGAATCCTTTTATAATTCTTTAAGTACGCATAATTATATATATAAATCCGAGTTGACCCACATGGGTGACCCAATCAAATTTCCGTCAATATGTTATCCAACAAAATGTTATGGAGGCAAGTAGGGATAGAGAGTGGGGATTCAAGGTGGGACGGTCAAGGGGTGAAGGTTGAGTATGGATTGGACGGGTGGGGAAGAGATAATAAACTTAAAGTCCATTTGATTTAACTTTAAAAAAATAGTTTCTTAAAAACTAGTTTTTTATTAAGTTAAAAAATGAAAAGTAGGGGAGTACCTACTTTTAATTTTTTAAGGTCATTTTAACTTATTTAAGTTATTTTTAACTTTGTCAAATAATCTCAAAAGCTAAAAATGATTTAAAAGTATGTTTGACCAATTTATAAGTCAATCCAAACAGACTCTTAGAATGTCATTATGCAACTTGTTGTTCCTACTTCTATTAAGTAAGTTATTTTCCTCAATTTTAAGGAACTTATTTTTCTAGACAAAATATTTGATATTTTTCAAATATTTTGATCAACCAAACATTTTCGTCCACGCCAAACACACCGATATGACTTCACTTTTTCAAATGCCAACTCACTAATTCTACTTTAATACATGATCCATGGTCCAATTGATTGCGCATTTTTCAGTTTCACACTGGTCAACCTGCGGAATGTTGTATGAAAAGAAATCAATTTTCTCATGATTAATTGCTATCATTGAAAAATATTTTCGGTGCGAAAACATCTTTTTTGAAAATCAGTAAAATAGCTTCTATGGTAAAAGTAAAAAAATAAGCATCACAAGTGTTTTTCATGCTAATAATATCCAGGCTCTCTAATTCTCACTCCACTCTCCCAAACCTTCCAATTCCCCAACCCCTAAAAATAGTTAAATCGTTTGGTTTGAGGTATTAAATAGTCTTTGAATTATTTATTCCATTATTTGTATTATAGTGATTGAATAAGTTATCCCATATATATAATGGAATAACCGAGATAACTTGTTCTAACATCTAATTCACTAATTGGACTCCCTTTATGCTTTCCCCTTAGTTACACCAGTGCTTGAAAAAATATATTTTTTGGACCTAGTACACCCCATAAGGGATGCTATTTAATATGCATCATTTTCAAACAAAAAATACAAGTGTCTAGTGTGATTTTGCTCTGTCATTTGGATTCGCTAGAAATCTGTAATTTGCATTGCCACTTTTACAGAAATATTTTTATGCTTTACGTAGGAAGAAGTAATCTGAATCCTTGACAACTATGAGGAGATTATAATTCCTTAACAAAATACAAACAAGTCATGCACTCGGAATAATTTTTTCTTCTTCTACATTTATGTTTAGGTGTTGTTGTGTCCCGTTATTCTCGCGAAAGACGGATTTCAATATGTGACAACTCTTTGAGGTTGTTTATGTAAGAACTAGAGGGCAATGGGCCCAATATTTTACAATTTAAAGCCCAACATTTTATAGTAGTAGATGCATAAAGATACACAACAATAACCATACAATTACATTGATGCAAAAGTACTAAGATATTATAACTATTTTGATGCAAATGTATGTTGAATAAGTGCTTAAATTTTGCATCAAAAACACCATTTTTTTCTCTCTACTTTTATCTAAATTATTACAGTTGACTTGAATTTTCAATAAATCAAAATTAATTTCAAGATAATGACAACGAATGTAGGAGATTAAAACAATTTTTTTATCTAAATCATAGACCAACAAAATCGAGAACTGCAATAAGGACATAATAGTATTGTGGATGTCCAACATACAACTATTATGTTTTATAAAAAGGGGACATAAATGAAATAGAGCAATTTTACATCATAAAAAAATTAATGTTCATTGTGAGGAGATTAATTCAATCAGTTCATCTGGAGTGAACAATTGTAATCAAAATAAAAAGAAGGAATACCATTTGTATTGTCCGAATGGTAGAAGCAACAAAAAACACGATCCTTGTCAACATTAGAATGCCCTTGGCTGGAAAATGAGCATACCCTCTGCTCAATTCTAGTGTAGATCAGTACCTTGTTGTTATTCTTGGACCTATTGTAGGGGATGAGGAACTCAAGGCATAGGTTGGCATAAGGATTTGGTCTATTTCACACATTTAGCGAAGAATAAGAACAAGGAATTTTGAAATTTGAAAAAAAAAATCAAGTCATTAAAGAGAAGAGAGGAATTTGATTTCCGATGAATGAAATGCCCTATCTGAAAAGGCGGTTGCAAAGGGTACCTTGTTTGGGATGGGGTTGTCAAGCTTACCCAGGAACAAAAGAGCAACATCTATCTCATACTCAAAAAATAAATTTAAGAGCAACGCCTCTGGATGATATGAAAATGCAATAAGGAATCCCCGTCTACTTGTCTACAAGCGTAGTTGTAATAGACATAATACACCAAAAATGTAACAAATGTTTTGAGTCTTCATTTAGATCATAAGCATATCCTATTTTAATAATGGTAAGGTGTTTCAGTTGGAGTCCGAAACTTTGTAGCCAATCTTTCGTATTTCAAGAAATCATGGCATAGAAATAGGTCGAGGTACCTGAGAAAAACATATAAATATCAGTCAATCTAGGAAGTTGGAGATGCATGTATGCAAAGCTTCAAACATTATACATATATAATAAAAGAGACAAATGCAGAAAAAAATAATCAAAAATCAGTAAGTACAGATACTTATCAGTGTACATCTGCAATTTTGTGACTCCTAGATATACACAGTGTGACACAATGTTATCATTCTCACTGCATTTACTAAGTAATCTCCCTCTCCACAAAGGAAGTTTAATGAGAAATGATAAGAGTTCATACAATGCACACATTAATGGTACATGCAAGAAAGGTGTGTAATAAAAATAATGATATGAAAAAATATAATGACCATCTACAGTGCGATTGTTGACATTATAAAATCTACAATTGTGTCTTCATGTAAATTTCCTTCACAAGGAAAAAAAAGAGTGAATTAGTAATCAAATATACATGAATGCACTGAAAATTGATGATGTTTTTCAATCATGCCTAAAAAAATTTGAACTTCTTATTAGCTTCTCTCATCTCTCATCATAGCATCTATAATCCGATTTCATATTCATTTACTAATTTTTGCTTGGTATATGCATACGTAACAATCAATATAATAGTAATAAGTCAAAGCCATTGAGGGTGTTCTCCAAATTATGGCTTTTACTCTTAATTTTGTCAACTTCTTCATAAATTTTTCACGTAGTAAATGAAGATATATAAGAAATTAATTCGTACAATGACATAGAATAAAAGGAATTCATCAAAAAATGAGAGTAAGAATGTGTTCTAACTTAAGAAGAGAATGAAGAGGAAAAATAGTTAAACAGAAGTCTAGCAGGAGAAAATTTGTCTATGATATTTGTGCATGATCTATACCATAATACAATCGAATATCCCTGTTAGTCACTTGAAGGTAGCTGACCTCGATATTGATTAGTTGTGGACAAATTTCATGACCTCGAGCAATATAGCCTCTATGAGTAACGTGATTCTGTATCAGTAGTTGATCCACAATAATTTTAGGGATAGTACCTTATGAGGAGCATCGGTGATGAGATCTCTATTGGAACGGTTTGATTCCATACCTTGTAATCTTCCTACCTTATTCTTCTTCTTCATCTTTGTGTGTGTGTGTGTGTTTCTCTCAACTCTCTGGCTTTGTCTGGATCTTGTATATGAACAGATTATCAAGGCTCTTGTTGCCTGCAAAATGAGGTTTGAGTAACATTTTCTCAACTATTGCATATAAACTGAGAAGAAAACAACACATTTTCACAAATATGATATTTTTTTAGCAGGTTCATAATGCCTCCTATAGCTCTATACATACAAATGCTCTAAATAGCCGTTTACTAAGTTTGGCCTCACTTTTTTCTCTATCTGCACTTATGTTAAAAGCTAATAAGCTCCATACTAATGCTTAGTCCAGTTAGTAAATATTTTGGGAGGTAGACAATAAGAATTTTAAAGACAACCAGCAAAAAGGAATTCTTCAAATTTTCAAGCAAGAAGCAAGCACGCACATTCACAATATTTTAGAGAATTAACTTTCTAAAACATTAACCTAGTCATATCTACATAATATTCTGCACTATGGGCTATACAAGTCAATTAAAGTTGATTATTGTGATATTACAACTCATCAATAAAAAAACTCCCAGAAGCTAAGATTAATAAGTATAGATTAATCAGTTTCATTAACTCGTTAACCTTCTAAAATAATTTCTTAATTTTACTTGAAGCAGCAGGGAAAAAATAGTAATGCACTTGAGCAAGTGTTCAAATTCAAAAAGATGGTGGATAGCTATTTTGTGTTCCTACTTGTGTGTTGATACTTCAACACCCTGCAGTCAAAAGTGACATATTGTGTTAAGGATATTTGGATCAATTTGGTGCATGCAAAACATATAACTTCTTCATGAGTAACTTCAACACATATAAGATGCACCTTTGTCTTCTCTTTACAAATTTCAGGGAATAGCTTCATGACATGGATAAAACATAAAAGAATAACGAAAAGCCAATTGTATGAGCTCAAATCTTTCAGATCATAACGAATTATGACACCTATTTCTCTATCACTCCTTTGTGACACCATTGTAAGACGATATGTGTATTCCTAAAAAGCTTCAAGAAATGATAAACACATAAAGATGGTATGAAAATGAGAAAACTTTACCCAATATGATCAAACCAAGATTATTTGGATAATATCAACGCCACCAGATTCCTAAACCAACATACGGTACCAATTCAAATATGCACTCTTCATCCTTTCTTTTATTATGTATGCAACGAAATATCAGCTACGAAATCAGTTTTTAGAAAGCTACGTCCAACAGGTTCCTATTATCATTAGAAAAAAAAAACAGGTATTAGCAAAATCATAAAAGTGACCGCAGTATCTGTCACATATGTAACTGATCATTTACTAGTAGATTAAGATCAATATTTTGTTCATAAACAAGATATCATCCAAGTAATGAGGACTTCGTTTAGATGATTTTGGTCAAATCAAAATAGATATTTTTTAGTGTGAGCATTGAAATTCATTTTCTTCTTCGGGCATTCTCGCTGTCAACTCATGTTCGCGATTTAGAATTTGCAAGTCCAATCAAGAGTCTCTGTTATTACTTCATCAATGTTGAATCTTAGTCCATGCATGTGTCTACGAAAGATATGTTGAGTTGTTAACAATAACATGGGCAGAAAGAGTTGGAAAATCATAACAATTAGAGTTCTCTCCAATTTATGGTATCTTAAACTTGGATGCATCTAATCTTTTGTTAATGTCCAAGCTCTTACAATGAGAAATAAAGGAGGATAAAAGAAGAGTTCAGTCAGAGCAATGATGAAAGCCATTGAAACCAGAACACACCAAGAACTTTGCACAAAAAATTACTTGAAAAGTCAGTAGAAGTGAGAAATCGATTAAAAATTCTGAAAAATTCACATGTAAATATAGAGTATATTATACATTCAGATTGAGTTACTCTGAGTTTTGCCAGATTCAAAATCCTTCCTTATTATTCTTTAGAAATCGCAGAAATGTGTTGCATCAATTTTTATCTTTATATTTCTCCAAATCAGTGAAACAAACAAAAAATGGAGAAAGAACTCACCAATAATAAGGAAAATCAGATCATAGGAATGACGAAGAGGATTCAACATAGGAATTCTGTACATGCAACATACCTACAACCACATACCAACAAAACAACAAAAATTGAAAGCAATATCAAAATAATGAAACACAAAATAAACATAAAAGGATGACAATCCAAAAAGGAAAAAGTGAAAGGTTACGACTTACGGCCGTCCGGTAGATCACCCGCAACAAAGTTTAAACAAAACTCTTTACAAAATGGAGCAAAAAAGTGGAGTTAAAGAGGGAAAATAGGACAGAAAGCTGTAGAGGAGAAATAAAGAAAGTTCAAGAAAACCCTTTCAAGTGCTTCTGGTAATTGGCGTACACGTTTGCAGGGATAAAGCACACACGTGTTAAAAAAAATAGGTAAATTAATCAATAGCCAATAAAATAGAGACACATCTACAGTACCATTTAGATAACTTTCAGTACAACACATTAAAGTTGTGTTCGTCCTTGCCCTGTTGGCTTATAAAATAGGTTAATATGCTCAGCAGAAGCATTATTCAAAATCACAAACTTACATAATAACATAATAATGTAAACTAAATAAATTGTGAAACTCTAACTTTTTGAAGCTTAAACACAACTCGTTCAGGGATTGGGACTCCAGGATTGCAGCCTTCTACTAATTCTTGACTAACTCTCTCAATCAAGTTTTGTGTGGGCAAAAAAAATTTCAGAAAAGGGATGATCTTTCCTTGAGAACCACCAACCCTATTTATACTTTCCAGTATTAGGGAAATGTTTGAAAGATGAAATGTTTCTAGTCATAATTAATAGCCAATAATGGTCATCAAATACCTTTAGGTGTATTTGAGCACTGTTACGTGTATCCAACAATCAAGATCAATAGTCATTAACAACCATTAAATACCATGAAGTGTATTTTGACACTGTTAAGAGTATCTAACAACCATGATCAATAGTTATCAACAACCACTAAATATCATTAAGTGTATTTAGAAAGTCAATAAACACCAAGGGTAATCAACAATCATTAAACACCATCAATAGCCACTAATAACCATTGAACACTATTATTTGCTTCTTTCATCTTCTAAGGAAACAAAGAATCGCAGTATTTTCTTCTTTCTTCTTTTAAGGAAATAAAAAGTTTTTTTTTCGCTTTTAAACTAATAAAAGTCAAAAGATTTATTCCTAAACTGAAAAAAAATACTAATAGTCCTTTTGTTTTCCGAACTCGATCAATTAATCAAGCATAGTAGGAACCGTTAGCAGAGGCTTCCAATTATAATATTTAGGCCTAAGTCATCTCCGGCCACTCAAAGTTGTTTGTATATTTCACTTGAGCACCTTAACTAAGACTTGTACCTATTGAACACCTCTACGACTTTAGATTGATACCTATTTGACATTTTTTTAGTAATCATCCTCAAATATTAAGTGAGTGAGATACACTCACGATGACATGGCACAATAACAAATTAAATTATGACATAGTCATTTGGGTCAAAAATACTATTAAAAAACATTGGGTAAGAAAAAAAAGATATTTTAAAGTTAAAAAATAATTATTATGTAATCCCTATACAACCCATCCACCCACCAAACACTCTTCCCCTGTTGCCCATCAGAACCATCCACCCGCCATTTCTTTCTCACTTACTTTTTCTTCTTCTTTGTATGAACAATGGCAGAATATTGAGATTCAAAAGTAAACAAAAAAAAACTTTAACGGTAACATTGTAAATCAACTATGGAAGATTTAGATTAAAAAATAATTAAAAAAGAAATAAATTTTGAGGAGAAATAATGTTTCATAGATCGAAACATTAATTGTAGAAATGGTGTTGTTGTTTAAATTGCAAAGTTGTAACTTTGCTTACTTCTATAACTCGACAAAGATTCAGTCCTAGATTAAAAGGAAAAAAAAACGCGACCAAGTCACGATCAAGCGATTCTAGATCTGAAGAAAAAAAAGCTACGCGGCGGCGTTAATGGCAGAGATGATGGTGATTGCTTAAATGAGGAGAAAGAAACGAATGTGCTGGCGGAGATAATGACAAATCTGACCGATTGTTAAGAAAGTGAAGTGACTAGAAAAAAAATGAAAGAAGAAGAAAGGTGTATGATGGCGGTGGCCAGAGAAATTGGTGGTAACCAACACAAGGAAGAAGAAAGAGATTTTTTTAATTTAAAAATTGTCTGATTATATGTTTTCACGCGCTCATCAGCGGTGAATCACACTCAAAGTGCCATGTAGGCAAAAAGTGCTCAAGTGGTATCAATTTAAAATTCTACAGGTGTTCAATAGGCACAAGTCTCAGTTGAGGTGTTCAAGTGAAATATGCGGACAACTTTAAGAGGCCACAGATGACTTAAGCCTAATATTTAATTCGTAAAAAGCATGAATTAACCATATAATAATAAATCACAGATTGTACCACTAAAAATTTGTAACTGCACTCCTCTATTTAATTTCAAAAAAATTTCTGTTACAACTTATTTAACTCCCCATGTCAGAATTACCGACACCAATCAATTAAATCAAACTTCTGGAAAATTTAATCCATTGATTAATTTAATCCTTTATATTTATGCTTAAATTAATTCACGTGACAGATATACATATATAATCCACTTGCAGGATTTTCACGTGATTACTTATAAGCTACCATAAAGGGGTGTCTTCTTTCTCATATTCGAGATATGGTTCTATCAACTAATTATTATTTCACGAATGTAATTTGTTATTATCCAATCCATTAGGAATATTTTGACTCATCATTGAGTCTCACCTTTTAATAGATTAAAATAATAAAGCAAACTACACAGATCATAACAACTATATCAAGATTAAGAGTATAAGCTCATGTAATGGACTAGAGATATTATTTATTGAAATTCAGAACCTAAATACATATCTCAAGTTGGTCCGTTCAATACATGCAAAATGTACTAACACAAGAAGTTGGAATTTTACCATTCCCATAATTAAGATTGAATTATATTTAATCTTGTGTTACAATCATCAAGATGTTTGTCCAACTTCATCTTTGATTGTGAACATTTAATTTATAACTTATAAGAATCGACAATTTTTAATCTTCCGCGTATGAGTTAAACAACTCCATACCCAAATATCGTCTACTATATATATAAGTAATGGACACACATATAAACACAATGATCTATTCAAACAAAGACTTTATTGTAATAATTAACATAAAGCATAAAGTCTTTATAAAAGATTAAAATCAATACTATAACTCAACCATATGATTAATAGTATATCCCAACAATTTAAATGAGAAAAGTGATCACCTAACAAATTAAGGTGCGTTAGGACACCATTCTAAACTAAGTTATAAATAACTACGTTTAATTAGTCTACATCATAGGAGATCAGGTAGAGTTCAAGTTGCCTCTAAAAAATGTGTTAAATACTTTTTGAGGTCCACAAATGTGGGTCCCTTTGCTTGATTAATTTATATGGGAATCAGGTGATAAAGAAAAATAGTTGAGTTTACTAAGTCAAAAATAAATGATCAAGTGTAGTACCTTAGAGTTCGAACCTACGAATACTTAGTACTTAGCCTAAACCCATCTTGAAATTCTAGTACCAGGTTCCACAAGCCATGGATGGTGTCTGTTGCATTATTTCAGAGTGACTATATCATGTGTGAGTTCCTTGAATGAGTTTCACGAGTCACTGATCATGGTACGAGCCATGGAAAGTCCTCCTGAACTCAATCTTAGAGGTTGTCATTTAACCTGAGTTCCATAGGTCACTCCACAATCCGTGCAATGGATTCTTGAATAAGAATAAAAAAAATTCTAAATTTTTTGAGTTCCATGAAAGGAGTCCATGGGACATGGATCACTTCACGAGTTGTGGATGGTCCTCACGGGCTCAACCTGACAGAAATTTTTCAGAAGTTATTTACATATTTTTTTATTTCCTAAGTCTTAACCTTGACTTTTTAGCGTCATTTTCGAAAGTATATCATAGTATTCCCCTAGATTTCTCTCCCCAAACTTAGAGCAAAACTGAAAAAGAGAAAAACCCAGGGTTTCAAGCTTCTCAATCAAGCTCATCTTAAGAACATTAGTTCTTCTAGGTATATAAGCCTATCATTGTGAGGAACTAAGTCATTCCTCATACCCTACATCTACAATTTCAATTAGTAAGATCAAACCTAGGTTTATTATCTTGTCACGACTCAAGACTACCCCCTAGACGTGACATGGTGCCTAGAGCCACGAGTGACCCCAAGCTAACCACATGACATAGTATGACACTAAGATAGCATACACAACAAAACTAACATGGAAATGTAGAATAAAGTATCAAATGACTAGACATATAAAATAGAGAAAATTTGAATACAACTACTCATGAGTGGAAATACTAATGTCTGAAATAGACTAACATAAATGAGTCGTTAGGACAAATCCCTAGGTCGCTCAAACAGTTGGAAATGAAAGTAAAGCCTGAATGAACATATGAAATCATAAGTGGTATGTCTCTGAACCATAAGGACTCGCCAAAGTAGTGCAAAACTAATAAGAGTCTGTATTAACCAAACGCTTGATGAGATGTGTCAGAACTTATATTATGAAACAATATAGGTAGAAAATTATGCGATCAGTACTCAAATATACTAAATAAGGGGAAATTCATAAACATGACGTAATAACGTGATAAATATGTTAGGCATTATAATGTAATTACCAAGTAAACATAACATGAAAATCGATGATCTGATTTTAATAACATAACATAAGGTCATGCAATATTCTGAAAATTATAACATAAGTGGGATATACCATTAACCGATACAAACCATGTGATCTACACCGTGGATTTTATTGTTCTTCTCCCAAACCAAAAAGAGAGTGTCCTACTTGTCAAGGTAAGGACCATGAGTTTGAGCTAAGGTGTATCCACTAGCTAAAGCCTGTAAAGACTAAGTCCTAAAAAGGAATGTAGTTTTGAGGCTTAAGAATTTCTACTAAAGGTCCACGAACGCTAAACAAAAATCTTCATCTCAAAAGTTCACTCGGTGCTAAGTATACTCTTAGCGAAAAATATGCATAATCATAGAAACAGTAAGAATCTGGTAATGATGAATCATTCATGAATTTTTTTATAATATGAGTAGCTACTTAAAAATCATGATAACATACATAATCTGAGAGATACTTTATCTGAAAGTATCTAAATTAGGATAATCATATTAGATTGAACGATACTTTATCTGAAAGCATCCAAAATTCATGAAAATTTGAGTTCATAAAGCTTGCATGTGGAAGATATCATAATTCATCACA